ACTACTTGAACCACAGCTCCACTTCCTGACTTTTTAATGATTAATTGGAGGTAAGAGTCTCACAGACCTTCTAGCCATAGCTAGCCTCCAACCTCAACTGTCAGACTTTAGTCTCAGGAGTAGATAGGATTACAGGTGTGACCTGCCTACACTACTTTAGTTCAAGACTTTTATACTCAGCCTGTATTCTCTGAATGACTAACTAGAAACTAAGGCAACTATGGGAAAACTACTTAAACAACAACAACAAATCCAGAAGGTCTTGAGTCATAGTTCATCTCCTTGGGAAATGGGAAATGCATGTCTTAAGAAAAGGTAGGAGCTAAGTGCTGGTGGCTCAAGCCTGTAATCCTATCTACTCAAGAGATTTGAGGATTATGGTTCAAAGCCAGCCCCAGCAGGAAAATCCATGAGACACTTGTCTCCCATTAACCACTAGAAAACCACTAGAAAACCAGAAGTGGTGCTGTGGCTCAACTGGAAGAGCACTTTTAAGATGAAGAGCTCAGGGACAGCACCCAGGCCCAGAGTTCAAGCCCCATAACCAGGAAAAAAAAAAAAAAAAAAAACAAGAAAAGAAAAGAAAGAAAAGGAAGGAACTGGGCGCCAGTGACTCACATCTATAATCTTAGCCACTCAGAAGGCTGAGATTTGATGAATACAGTTCAAAGCCAGCCTTGGACACAAAAGTCATGAGATTCTTATCTCCAGTAAACTACTCAGAAAAAGCTGGAAGTGGTGCTGTGGCTCAAGTGGTAGAGCACTAGCCTTGAACACAAAGAGGCCCAGGACCCAAGTTCAAGCCCTAGTACCCGTATAAATAATGAATGAATAAATAAATAAATAAAGTTGTGTTGTTTTCTTAAAAGGTAAAATGGCCTTGGTACTTCTATAGCCTGAAAACATGAAACTGGAGCATTTCATAACATGTGTTATCAAACTAGAGCCTGACCACCTCTTACTAATTAATTTATCACTGTGTATTCCATTTTATACAATGATTTTCCAAAGCATCTGTCAGCTTCTCATATCCCTGACCTCTTCCCATCCACACTGAAATAAATGGCTTCTACTTCAATTTTTGCAAAAGCCAAGCCAAGTACCATAAACTGCTTCAACCTCTCTGACTTAATTTCTAAATGTCTCTGTACCTTCCCAAAAGGATTTCCCTTTCAGATCTGCTTATCCTGCTCTGATCGTCTTTAAGCAGTAGAGTCACATATGCATGTCATCTGGGTGTCCTAGTAGTATCTATAGGCAGTGAAGCCAAAACTGAAAACATTTTCACACTAAACATGGTTCTTCCTTCCTCAGAAACAACTTGGGCTGCTTAATACCCACTTCAAGTTCTCCAAAGTCTACATCTACACTGTTCTTGCACCAGCTTATTTGTCTCTGGTTTCTCTTCTGTTATTTCATATTCTCACTACTATCATACTATAGTCTCTTTAAAACAAGTATCACCCTCTCAAATACCTAGAAGGCAGCAAAGTAGTATAAATGGGTGAAACAAGTTAGGTGTTTGAATATTAAACTCATAAGAAAATTATGTACTTTCACAAAGAAATATGCTGCCTTTCATTTCTTGGAATATGTGGCCCTCTGATTTTAGCACTTAGATAGGCAGTTTTGAAAGGGACATTGGTATAAAAAATGACTTCTGTACCACAACTAATAAAAAGCAATAGTAAGTGAATATGCTAAATGGCAACAGACACTAGGTCTTAATAGAGGGAAAAAACCAGAATAGGCTCTTTAAAGGAGGCATTTGCTCCACATTTGTCAATTATATAGCCTCTCAGGAATAATGAATTAAGACTGGGGGTGTGACTCAAGTGGTAGAGCCCTTATGCCTACCACTATTACAAAGCCCTGAGTCTATCCCAGTACTGAAAGAGAGACAGACATTGGGGTATTAATTTCCTAGTATGCTTGGCCCGATAGAGCCAATATCAAAATACAAAAAGGAAAAAAAAAAAAAAGAAGAGAAAAGAAAAATGGACATTAGTATTGCCAAATATTTGGCCTTTGTTGAAAAGCCAGAAGTCTAGATTCTTGTTACTTCGTTTCTCTTGCTTAAAAGCAAACAATCAGGCTAATAAATTATTGCCCCAGGACCCCTTCTCTTCTGCAAATTTCTTTTCTCATAGATTCTTAGCAGCAATTTCCTGGGGAAGTGAAACAATATAGTAAAGGCTATGAAAGGCTTCCTGGGACTAGCCTTCCCTTTCTCACTTTCCTCCCCACACAGGTCAGGTGTCCACTTGGGAAAACACATAACAGACTAAAAAGTAACCCCAAAGGATTTGCCACCAAATCCTAACAGAGCAACCTAAGAGACACTTAAATGTGCAGGTCACTCCCCATTTCTCTCTTTCCCCTCCTCCCTCCCCAGCCCCAACACCTCTGCTTTAGTCAAACAAATGAGTTGGCTTACTCCATTCCATTCACAATTTTTTCCATTATTCTTCCCTTCACAATCCAGCTCAAAACACACCACCCCCCTCCCCAGGGAAACATTTCTTGCATAATATGGCTGGATAATTTTTTTTTCTTCTCATGGCTACAGAGGCCTGCATGCAGAGTTGGATTAAGTATGTCTTCTGTGGTGTTTCAGAAAGTGGCTGGTGGGCTTCTCCTGAGAAGGGATGGGGCTCTTTCCTTCCCACTCATGACTTCCTCCTAGTCCAGGAGGCCGAGGTCAGGGCGTGGGGCATGGGAAGGGGAGGCGGAGCTGCTGCTGCTAAACCATCACCTCTCTCTCAGCCACACCCAGCCCTACCAGGATCAACCCAGACCCGGCCTCACCTGTCAGCTCCCCAGTCAGGTATGTGGCCATTTTGGAGAACATATCCCGGCAGAGTTCAGTGATGTCAGCCTCCGCAGGTTCCTTGGCTTCTTCGGCTGTCTCCACGGCGACATCGTCTAGGCCAAAGGAGAAACGAGTAAGTGTCCAGCCCTGCACTCCAACCCAATCGGGAGCCGCTTCGCCTCCAGCCCTCGCCGTCCCACCGTGCCGGCCCCGCCCGTCGGCCGGCCGTGGTGCCCGGCCCGCCGCCTCCCCCGCGCCCACCCGACGCCCGAGCTCGCAGCCCAACCATTTCTGTCGCCCTGCTAGGACACACAGGTGCAACCTCTCCGACCGGCCGGATCCGGCAGCCACACACTTCGCCCTGGCCCGCCACTTCACGCCCGTCCACGCCGGGTACCTCGAGCCGGCTCCTCCGGGCGCGTCTCCGGGACACCCTCCGCGGCCGCCGCCATGGCCCGCCCCTGCGCGGCTTCCGGTCCTGGCGCCTGCGCACGCGCGCCGGGAGCACCCGCCCCGCCTTCCCCACCGCTGGCTTTTTGAGCTTCCGGCTTGAGGCACGCCTCAAATGATGACTTCTAACCAAGTGCAAGGACGAAGCCAAGACGGAAGGTAGAGTACCGAAGTGAATGGGCTGCTGGGAGTCACGACCTCTGAGACCGAGGTTACTCTTGTCCCTGCAGCCACACCTTGGAGTTGTCACTCGATTTACACCAGCCACCTGGTCTGGCTTCCTCCATGGCGGACTAGCCAGTTCACGGAAATGGCTGGCGTCTGGGTGCCTAAGCCTACCCCCTGCCCGCACACCCCGCACCTGGCAGGTGTCAGTCACAAAGGATTGACTTGGAAATGGGTGCTTATGCGGAGAGCCTTATCCGTCCCACTCCCCGTTGGAGGTACTGGGTTTTTAGTTCCGCCATTTGAGCCCTGCCTTCTGCCCATTTTTCTCTGATTATGTTTGAGATAGTGCCTCAACTGTACCCTCTTTAAGCTTCCCACGATATCTGGGAAGGCAAATCTAGCGTTTTCTGTTGAGATGGAGGAGGGTCTCTCGAATTTTTGGTCCCCCCTGGCCGCCAACAGAAAAGGAGATGGTCTCCGTCTTCCAACTAGCTAGGATTTACGGGCGTGAGCCACAGGCCTGGGTTTGCAGGTAATCTTATTTTCCAAGCCTTGACTCCATCCTAAATACACTCCCTCCCAATGTCCTAGATTAATTGATCTCTGTGTCTTAAATTGCATACTAGCACTTCCTTCTCTTCATTTTATAGCTGTGTGTGTTACTGGGAATTGAACCTAGGGCCTTTAAAGCCTTTCTTGAAGGAAGTTTAACAATTTTAGGGCTAAGGATACTCTGGTTATCTTAATTGAATTTAGCTTTTCACAAGCTTCTTGGGTATATATAACATTTAACAGGTTAGGAGAACTCTAGAAGTGAGTGAGCAATTGGATAAGACAAAATGATAAAAGTCACAGGAAAAGTCAGGTTTCAGTGGTTTATGCCTGTAATCCTAGCTATTCAGGAGGTTGAGATATGAGGATTGCAGTTCAGAGCCAGCCCAGGCAGGAAAGTCCATGAGACTCTTACCTCCAATAAACCACCAGAAAACCGGAAGTGGCGCTGTGGCTCAAGTGGTAGAGTGCTAGCCTTGAGCTGAAGAGCTGAGGGACAGCACCCAGGCCCAGAGTTCAATCCCCACAACCACCGGAAAAAAAAAAAAAAGGAGAAGGGAGAAAAACAGATAAATAGTCTCAGGATCCAGGCTCCTGGACATTCACCATCTTGATTTAGGTTTTGTTTTTTGTTTTGTCTTATCCCAGATTATCCTTCGTCTTCACAGATACATGGCCCTAAAACCTTATAACCTGATTTTCTTTGCAATAGAACTGGATCTCTCTAGATCTCCTGTCTCTACTCCTTTCTTATAGAACTATCATAGTACCATTTCAACCCATTCCTATCAGCCAGAGATTTTTTAGTTCAGGACTCCTGGAGCAGCCCATCTCCTTCCTAGTTGTCATTGCCCCTATTCTATATATCCCGAGAATAAGAACCCACTCCAGCCCATAAATGGCTCAGATTCTAACTTCTTATTGTCCTTTTCCTTCGTATTGTCCCAGAAACAAATACAAAGACATAGTTTTCCAATGCAATTTTATTGATAAACAACTGGGAAACTCATAATGTCCTATAGAAGAATAGCATCACGCCCACTACATATTAGACTAAAGGTCTTTGAATTCTGAGGTCATTTTCTTGCCTGATTCCCTTCAGATTCAATTTTCATTTCCTGGTATATATCCACCCAGTTCCCAGTGTTCAGCAGGAAGGCAGGAACCAGGGTCCTCCAGAAGAACCTTTGCTGACTTTGCTCTGGGAGGGCATTACACTAATTCCTCTGCTATATTGGAATCTTGCCTTGTAAGAGGAGTCTACTCTCCTCTAATGTTTCTCTTTTACAGAAACTCTGTGGGGGAAGGGAAGAAATGTATGGATACTAGCAGCAGATCTCTAGATACACAAAGGATAGCAATAAGATTTACTGGCAAATAGAAGACATCTAGACACTACCTACTGTCTTGGCTTCTACCTTTTTCATAAATCGTGGCTGTTTAGGTGTTTAAGGAGAATCATTTCCTTATCCTGTTTGTTCTTGACTATTTTTGAATCACAGTAGAGCTAAGTGCACAAGAAATAAGCCCACAGTACTATGTGGCTATAGACAGAAACACCAAGTCACAAGCATGATGCCCAACTACACACAGAAACATTGACTCAAAAGGCCATACATGGGGTGGGACCTTCCATGAACGGACCTGCTGCTCTCTCTGGGGAGTCAGAAAGAGAGGAACGTCTGTTGTATGACCCCTTTTCCACCACTCTTGTGCCCATCCGGACTCCCTAGGGAGCTGGAATTCAACTACAGCTGGATGCAAGTGTTCCCAAACCGCCGTTCCTCCTGCTGGGGAAAAAAGAGCAGGTCACTTGAAGCAGGACTTTATGTCCTACTTTATTTTTCTCTAGATTTGTTTAGAGAACCTAGACTGATACAGACTGAATGTCTGTGTCCCCCCAAATCATGTGCTGAAATGTAATCCCCTATGTAATGGTATCAGGAGGTGTAGCATTTGATAAGTGATTAGATCCTGAGTGTGGAGCTCTTTTTTTTTTTAAAGTCTCTTTGTTCCTTCTACCATGTGAGAACATAAGGAAAATACAGGCACCTGTGAACTTGATCTTAGACTTCCCAGCCTTCCAAACTGAAGAAGAGATTTCTATTGCTTACAAGTGGCTCAGTCTATGATGCTTTGTGTATCAAATCAATCAGACAAAGACACAGAGTTCTCCTAGTGGCCAAGGCAAACCTTAGGCCAAGGCAATCCACTTCCAGGCCTTCCTTCATTCCCCCTCTACTTCCACTGATACACAGATCACTGTGAACCTACTTCCCCAGGACTCTGAAAATGAAGGACTTTAAAAAATATTCTCTCCCCTACCCACTCATACTGAGTGGAAAGACAGTAGATTTCAACTATGGGGAACTAAAGAAGTGCTACTCACCTCTCCTGGGGAGGAAGCTGGCTGTCCTTTCCTCTCCAACATCTTCAGCTTTGAATCCACAGCATCAATTTGAGATATAACTCCTTCCAGAGCAGTCTCTAGTTGTAGGACTCTTCTTGTGAGCCTATCTATGCAGGATTTGGAAGAAACAAAATGGGCAGAGATACGCGTCTGAGTGCTAGGAAAGGTGAAAGGTTAACAGAATGGTTGTGTCTACAAGGGAAGGGTTAACAAAATGTGGGGGGTGGCTGCATGGGAAAAATGAAGTAATATACAATCGTGTGGAGAATTATGGGACACAAAATTATAAGAGAAGTACAACAAAGAATATTAAAAACAGCCAGCTCTGGGCTCCTGGTTGTACATACATGTAGAATTCTTTTCCAGAAATGCAGCCTTCTGATGTGGCAGCCTCTGTACCCAATTCACCAGCTGGGCTATGTACAATGGACCGACCCAGGTTCTCAATCTCAGCATTGAGGGCCACCTAATCAGGAAGTCAGAAATTAGAGGGGAAGAGGTGACTCTGGGAAGTCATCAGCTCCTATTCCATTATCTGTTCCAAATGGTCTCTAACTCTACATCTTGATATTCCTCCTCCCTCCCAGGCTCTAGAACCAATAGGGCCAAAGTAGTAGTGGTAGACCAGCCCCTAGAGAGGGGGTCACCTTCCAAAGAAACAAACATATACTCTACAAAGCATGTGTTTGGGAGAGGATAGACAGTACCAGAACATTTTTGATACTTTCTCTCTAGGATGCTGTCACCCTGCTGGGGCTGGCTTAGTGATAGAGCAGGCCTAGTAGGAGCAGCTAAGAATCAGAGTTTGAAAATTCCAAGAAGACAAATCCTCAGAGGGAATTATCAGAGATTCTTAGGCAATTAGTACACTTTGCCTAGGACTGTGCTTTAGAGAAATGGTTCTCATCCTTGCCTGCACGATGTAATCATCTGGGAAATTTTACAAAATACTAATGTCTGCTGTCTGCCCTCCTCCACTTTAATTGGTCTAAGAGCTCCCCAGAGTATTTAATGTGTAATTGTTTGAGAACCCCTATTCTGGAGAGTTCTTTCCTGATTATCTATGGAGAGGATGTTCAGTTTTGATTTGTGTTTAGGTATATTGAGTCGGGGGACAGAGGACCATTGTTCTTACGCTGTCTCCTCACCAACCAGTCCTGCTCACCCTTTCTTCCTCTAGATCTTGTCGCATTTGCTCCTGCTCCTTCTCATCCAGAATGTGATTCCCATCCTGATCAAACCGGGTGAAGGCAGCTGTGAGCTCAGTGATCTCATGCTCCTCATGCCCCAGTCTGAGGAGAACAGCACAACAAAATGACTTCTGCCCTGTTGGAGTTGTGATAACTTTACTATTGACTCCTCACCCTTTTATTGGAGGATCACATGGGAAATCTAGAATCTCTGAAGTCTAGCAATTCTACACCCAAGAAATTGCTTGACTCTGTTTCTTCTTCCTGATCTGACCCCTGCTGACAGGGCTTAGAGCCTCATGATCCCCTCCTGTGGAGATTGTTGCAATATCTCTTTTGCCTCTAAATAACCTGCCACCACCTCCACTTCAGCTTCCCCTCTACTCCTTGCTTCTGAAGTGCTTCCTCCATAACTAGAATATTATCATTTTTAAAATTCAGATCTAATGGTGGTGGACCATGTGTGCTGGCAAATACCTGTAGTCCCAGTTACTTGAGAGGCTAAGAAGAAAGAATCAAGTCCACAATTTCAGAATAGCCAAACTTATTTTTGAGACTATGACAGAAAATAAATAAAATGCAAACCTAAATATACACCTTTTCAACTTAAAAATCGCTCCTGGACACCCCATTCTTTGGATAGAGTATGGATATCAAGGCCATTCTCAAAGTAGCCATGTCCATTTCTCTGGCCTTACCTCCAGACTCATCTTTTCTTTTTATTAGAAATTATCAACTATTTATTTTTGTTGTATATGTTGTTTAATTTTAAAACTCTGCCTCTGTAGATGCTGTCATCTTTTATTAAAATTTCCTCTGCTCTTCCAGGAAACTTCCCCATCAGCTCAAAAAGAATCAATAACTGGCCAGGCTCCAGTGGCTCACACCTATAGTCCTAGCTACTCAGGAGGCTGAGATCTGAGGATTGTGGTTCAAAGCCAGCCCAGGCAGGAAAGTCCATGAGACTCTTTTTTGTTGTTGTTGTTGTTTTTTGTCAGTTGTGGGGCCTGAACTCTGGGCCTGGGCGTTGTCCCTCTGCTCTCCAGCTCAAGGTGAGCATTCTACCACTTGAGCCACTGAGCCTCTTCTGGTTTTCTGAGTGGTTTAGTGAATGGTGATCCTCAGATCTCAACCTTCTGAATAGCTAGGATTACAGGCATGAGCCACCAGCACCCAGCTTCCATGAGACTATCTCCAATGAACCACCAGAAAACCAGAAGTGGTGCTGTGGCTCAAGTGGCAGAGTGCTCTCCTTGAATTGAAGGGCTCAGGGTCAGTGCCCAGGCCTAAAGTTCAAGCCCCACAACTGACCAAAAAAAAAAATCCATTTATTCCATGTCTCCTTCTTTCATGTCATTTCAGTTGCTGAACTTATTCTGTGATTTGGTTTATTTGCTTACATATCTATGAGTTCCTAATGTTTCTCTATTCACTATAATAATGGTGGGATTATATTGTTACATTCTAACAGCAAGGTCCAGAATGTTGTAGGTTATATTCAAAGACCTTTAAAGCAAGGACATAATCCTGAAATTCAAAACCATAGACCTACAGGGGAAGGCCCAAAGCCTAGAAGTCAAGGTCTTAGGTCCATAGGCCAAGGTCAAATTTTGTTAGCAAAGGTTGTGTTTCTGGTTGCTTACTCCCTCAAGGTGTTGGTAAAATCCTCAAACTGTATCTCCTGCTTCCCACCCTGAAGGACCTTCTGCACATCTGAAACCTGCTCCTTCCTTAGACGTAACCTTAGTAGAGTCTTCTTGTAGCCCTGAAAGGGAAAGGAAACAGGAAGAAGTCACAACAGGCTGCTCATCATGCCTGACTCCACCTCCATCTAAAGCATGCCAGGGGGTAATTGAAAGCATCAGAGAGCATAGGTCCCTATAGCAGTTGGTAATAGACCATGACACAGAGCTTTGAGACAGTCTTGGATGCCTATGGGCTATTCAAGGATACTAAGTAGTCACCTGTTTCAGGAGGTCATAGAGCTGCAGCTCATCTTTCTGTCCAGCCAATTCCTCCTTGACCTCTGAGTATGTGTCATTGATGATAGCCAGGAACATGTTCTACAGGATAAAGTGAGAGTTTGGGCCCTCACTCTCAGACCAATTAAAAACATTGAGCCGACTGACCCAATATTGCAGACCTGGGTTCTAAAGGGCCTAATGTTCTCAACCTTGACTCCTGCAGTCAACTCTCAGGGGCCTCACAGCCCCGCCTTTTGCTCATTTCTCTTTTTCTCCCTCACCAACCAGACATCCAGCTGCCCACCAAAATACACCCCTCCCCCCTCCCCCACCCCCCCCCCTCCCCCACCGCCCCTCACATGATCTATACTCCTCCAAACCAGGGTCCACTAATTACTGAAGCCAGAAACTTTTGAAGGTGAAACACAATCCATGTGTTTGATCAAATAAACTTGCCTGCCATGTTAATAAAAAAAATCAAACCTAGATATTCCCTAGTTAGAAGAACATCAATCCAATAGTAACAGCAGAAATCAGCAAGATACCCCCAGATGAGAGCATATCTGGAGAAAAATTATAGAGGCTTCCAGGGACAGCTGTTCTCATGAGACACTTTCTTCTCCTTGGAGGAAGAATGTTTGATTTCTTGGCAAACTACCTGACTGTGCTTGGCATGCTGACCATGTTAGTCACCTCTCAAAGATCCAAAAGAACCTCCCCACCCAATATCCTTTCCATTCTTGCTTTGAGAAACTCATTATAATTCCAAATAGGAGGCAGAAAAGGTCAAAACCCCATCCTGGAGATCCTCTATGTTGTCAACCCTCCGAAGGATCCTCACCAGGAGCACGAAGAAGACAAAGAAGACATAGGTGACGAAGTAGACAGGGCCCAGGATTCGGTTGGCATTGTTGATAGCATTGTAGTCAAAGTCCCCAAGGATTATCCGGAACTGAGTAAAACTGAAAGACCGGGTATGGACTTTACCCTGAGCCTCCCCATACCATGGCCCTAATCCATACCCCTGTCCCACTTTCCCTCACAGCACCTCTGACCCCATCTGATGGAGAGAACAGGTGTATAAATTACTTGAGCACACACACAGGCTTCGGTAGACCCTCACTTAGGTGCTTTAAGTACACACACACACACACACACACACACACACACACACACACACTCCTCCCATTTTCCCCAAGGTTACACACACCTGGGAGGGTGAGGGGACAGGGTGGGGACACATACATGCACTTGGTGAAAGTGCTAAAGTTCTCCACTTGCGTTCCAAAAAGCAGGTAACCAAGCTGGGCATAAGCAAAGAAGACAATGAAGAACATGATGGCAAAGCCCAGGATGTCCTTGGCACAGCGGGCCAGTGTAGAGGAGAGCTGCATCATAGTTTTGTTGAAGCTGATGTACTTGAATATCTGCAAGGCCCATAGGGAACCACATGGTGAAGGACAAAAAGTGAAAAGCATTGAACAGTCCACTCCAGGAGCCCACAGAGGTGCCAAAGTAAAACAAGGAAAAGGAGACACAATTGAGGAAGAGTGGGCACCCTGAAGCAAACCAGGAAGGAAAAGTCCCTGGTACCTTGATCCAGGCGAAGAAGAGGTTGACAGCATTCATGTTGTTGTACTGCGTCTGCCAGAAAGCCAGGAACTCGAAGTCAGCATATGTGTTTGGCTGCTCTAAGAGCTTCCCCATCAGCCGATTCACCTCGAGGGTTCGGAATATGTGGAAGCCCACGGCCAGCATGGAAAGCTGTCACACAGGGGTCACAGGGCTGTCAGAGAGGTCTCAAGAGAAGCTCAAAGATAAAATCTCAGGGAAGAGCTGAGGCAGGTAAGCCACGTGGTCAAGAAACACCCCTTCCTTCGGAGGCATTCACTAGATCAAGTTCAGGTGGAATGGGAACTTGTATATGAGGGTAGCTTGCTTATGCTACAGCCCAAGAGAAGGCTTTGGGGCCAGAAGCAAATATGTCAATTGTAAAGGGCTATATGGAACATGATTTCTCTCCAACCCCACCACTTCCATGTCTTGGTAAAGAAATGAATATGTCCTGCTAATGAAAAAGAGATGAAGATGCAGAATATTTGAATAGAAAAGGCAGAGCTCTTCAAGGGGACAAGTCATAAAGGCAAAAGACATAAGAGAAGGTGACCACTTACATAAAGAAAAAAAAAAACAGGGCCAGGCTCACAGGCTCACAGGAGGAGAGATGTGATTCAGGCTTACTAAGGGCTGAGATTGAGGGGTATTAGCTTCTTGCTCTGCCATCTATGGCACAGTGATTTGACCACATGTCAGAAGGAGGGCTTGGAGCTCCAAAAGGAAGAACTTGGAGCCCCCTGCTACCGTCCAGTATGTACCAGGTCTGAAGCCTCTGTCCCTCACCAGGATGACCACCAGGTCCAGTATGTTCCAGATGCTGCTGAGGTAGCCAAGCCGGTGCATGTGGAGCTCCAGGACCTCCTCCACCACATAATAAAAGATGAAGATGCAGAAGATGATCTCACAGCCAATGATGAAGAAGTCCCAGTTGCTGACATAGCGGATCAGCTTAACTGTTCGGATTTGCCAGGATGGGATGGCACCTCCTGTAGCTGGGAACTCCACTACCAGCCTGGAGGGGAAGGAAATAGCTAGTGGGGTCTGGGCTAAGATAGTTCTTCCTCCTACTCATCCCCACACAATCCTTTATATTATTATGGGGTATGAATTTAGGGAAGCATCAAAAGCACAGCAAGAACTACAGTTAGAGGGACAGTGTGGAGACTAGGGGGCCTACCTCAGAACACAGAAAAGATTGATGTTGGCATTGTAGACTGAGAAGTCTATGAAGACCACCCGAGTGCCCCTGTCCAGCCACAGCCCCTCCCGAAGGTCTCGGAGCGCCTCTGCACTGGCCTGGCGGGATCCTGGAAGGTCCAGGTAGTAGCCACCTCCACTGTAGCTTGTGAGTCTGCCCCAGTGGGAGGAGCCCTCCAGCTCATCCTGTGAGTGATATGTCCACCTGCCACAGAAAAGTCCATCTGAGCAAAGAGAGGTCTGAGCCAGCCTAAAGTTCATCTCCCAAGGCAATGGAAATACTTTATGATTGTCTGGGCTTTGCACTTTCACATATTTCCTGTATGTAAGTACATGCAGTGTCACTGATAATCGATATCTGTACACTTTCCATGGGGAACATGGAAGAAGTCCCTGTAGGAAATCAATACCCAGATATTTTCAAGACAATTATCTCTATAATGGCAGTACGGAAACTCAAAGGTAAAGCTCCTCATTTTTCATTATGGTACTCAAGGATAAGGAGGACAAAGCCAAGCCCTACTTTTGGTCTCAACCTAACTGTCATCTCCCTAGGAGAAGCATCTGGACCGTAAGTCTAGGAAGGATCCTTCCAGTACTTATGGATATGCAACTTACTGCTCAACTCAATGACTCTCTGTTCTTAGCCTTCCTAAGTTTCTATCCTAGCTCCCTCTTTCCTCTTCCTTCATTATTGTCTTGTTTTGTGTGGCTGTGTCAACTTCATTTACTCTTCACACACCCAAGAGACCTGTGGGCAGATGTTTTCCCTGGGGGAGGGGCACTGCCTGTAGAGGACAGTAAGTGTGACTGTGACCTGTATGTTGTCACAGGTGTGAAAACTATGGCTCTGTGTGCTCACCTACCTCCATTCCTGAGTGAGATACATCAAGATCCCCAAAGAGTCACAGTTGGGACTCAAGAAGATGACTTCAGGTATCTCCAAGGTTTGATCCCTAGGTATTTTAAGACTCAGTAATAGTTGTTTCCACATCCTAGGATAGTGTCAGGCTCAGAGGGAACTCACGCTGTGCCGTTGACAGATCCAAAGGGGAGTTGCTCTTCTTTGTCTGGAGAGTAGACATCATAGCAGCTGAAAATGTCCTCCCGGAAGTCCTCATGCACCACACAAGAGTCATTGCGTACCCGCAGCTGCCGCAGCCTCGGGACCCCCAGCAGTAGGTTCTCATAGTAGATGAATGAGTGTGAGCCATGGCCCAGGCTCTGGTTGTTGTACCACTTGGTCCAGTACAAACTGTCCAGGAGTGGGCCCTGGGCAAACTGGACCAACAGCTGGGTTGGGCTTTGCTCAGCCTCCTCCCAACCTCTGTCCTTAGAATGACCTTTCCTCTCACTCCTTGACTCCTAGCTTGTTTCTATTCTCTTTTGCTATATTCTATTCAGCCGACCCCTGTACCTCTGCCAGATTCTGACCTGACTTTACTAAAAATATATTTTGAAGTTCTGCCTCTCTTCTTACTCTCATTCCAATCTCTCATTCACCTCCACTTCATCTCTAGCCTACTTCACTAATTCAGCTTGACCTTCTGACTCAAGTCTGATTCTAGATTGAACCTATGATACCTGGTTATGAGTCTGAACCTTTGCCTGACCTCCCCAAGCTCTGGCTTTGAATCTTAGGCCATTGAGAAGGAGAAAGAAGGGTGGAGATCTCATACTCACATCCCAGAAGTCTGCCATACTGCTGATGGTCTGGAAGGAAACTCCAGTTTCTGATGGGGTATGTAGGAAGAGCTCAGACATCACTTTGGTGTAGTAATAGGCACTGGAACTTGTCATTCCATAGGTCACTAGAAAATAACCCAAGAGGCTGTGTTTTGTTTTGTTTTGTTTTTGGTCACAGAGCTTGAACTTGGTGCCTAAGTGCTGTCCCTGAATTTTTTTGCTTAAAGCTAGTACCCTACCACTTTGAGCCATAGTACCACTTCTGGTTTTCTGGTGGTTATTTGGAGATAAGAGTCTCACTGACTTTTCTGCCCAGGCTGGCTTCGAACCATGATCCTTAGATCTCAGCCTCCTGAGTTGCTAGGAGTGAGTCACTGGAACAGTTCCCATCACTACTCTCCAGTGGAGACAAGAAAGCCCATTTATCTGGCACAAAAGGTGTATCTACATGGTTTCCCATAAGACCTACTCAATATAGTAGTCTAGGAAAGCTAATGGTAGCACTGGGGAAAACCAGGGGTTGTATTAGGGAAAGGTTTGGCTACAGTCTCCTACAAAGATGGCTCTCGCCTCAGTAATTGTTGATTGAAATCAACATTCTGAAATTTCACTCTTTTCTATGGACTCAGCTTATCTTTACAGTTCTTACTCTCCAGAACCGAGACTGTTACTTTGGATTTTATTTGCTTGCATGTGTCCTCTATTTATACCCTTTGGAAAGTTCCTCCTAATTCTAGAATACTCCGAGGCCCACTCTGGATAAACACTTTACACTAGCTTCTAGACGCTGTCATCATGGGAGTAGGAGTGGGCATGGCACCTGGGCATTGGCAGGGCTTGCTGCTGGTCACAGATATCTCCTGTGTAAGGGACTCAATGCATTCCAGATTTAGCAAAGGAGAAAAAGGGCTGCCCTTTTCCTAAAGTCAGCATTTTCCTCACCCACCCTAATAAATGCACTCAGAAAAATGTATTATATCCACAATTAACTCTCAAACAGTGGTGGTAAGATGGTGTGTGTAGAAGGAGGGGGGAATGTAGGCATGGTAGAATGTTTGGGAAATGTATGAAATGCTTGAAGTGTCTATAGGAATTCTTTGTGTTATGCTTGCTATTTTTCTATAATTTTCTGTAATTGCATTTAAAAACTTAAAAGTAGGACTTCTCAGTCTCTTGTCAGCAATTCCCTTAAACATTTTTTTCACATCTTGGACTTTATTTTATTTTTTTTCTATTTTCTTTTATTTTTTGCAAATTCTTTATTGTGATTGATTACATAATTTCACAAATTTCATAGTATTGTGGGATAGTGATGCTTGGTTAAAGTCACAAACACATTCTAACTTTCATGGGGCAAATTGTCTATTGTGGTCTATAACATTTATGAGTTCTATGAGCTTTGACAATAGTTATTTCGTCCACATTGGGTGATGTGTCCATTTCTTTCCTTTTGCATAGCATCAGCCGTTCCCTCTTTTCCACTAGTTCCCTTCCTCCCATCGCTGACATTGAATTGCTTAGTTCATTTTGATCAATGTCCAGTGCAGCTGATGGGTCCCACTGTTGTATATTTTCCTTGATTCCCTCTAGTTCTGTGTCATACTCTTGGGTTCCCTCCAGTGTGCACATATATACCATATATGTGATCAGCAGCATGGGGTTATTTAGTAGTGATTCGACCAGATGAGTGGAAGTCCTTTGTTTCTCAAGTCTTGTTTACTTTGTTGTATCACCTTATGTTTTGGATTTAACATCTACTTATCAGGAAGACCATGTGCTGTTTGTCTCTTTGCTCTTGGCCTACCTGACTCAACATGATTTCTTCTAGTTCCATCCATTTCCCTGCAAATGCCATTATTTTGCTTGGACTTAATTTTTTCTCACCATCCCATTTGGAAATGGAATGACTTGGGGTGAAATGGAACTTGCCTATGGAGCTGGAAGAAAGGGTGTTCCTTATTACGTACTATGCATTATACTTCTCCAGAGATGGGATTCAGAAAAGAAAGAAGCATTATTACTTCATATCCCCTTGTTCCACTCTATTAAGAAAGTTCAAAATATATCTGCAGTTACCTGTCTTTAGTAACTAGAGAAATATAGACAATTTTCTAATGAACGATAAGCTGAACTTTTTCTAATGATATAGGACTAAATTGTTGAATTTTGTAAAATGGCCACTAGGCAGTACTCGCTACTACTGCTTTTATTTTTCAGCTAACATTGTTCTGAACTGCTTGCCCAAATTTAGGGATACTCTCTTTATTCTCTTTCTCTCTCTCTCTCTCTCTCTCTCTCTCTCTCTCTCTCTCTCTCTCTCTTCCTTCCTTCCACCTTTCTACCTTTCTTTCTAAGTTTCTGTGTTGGGGATTGAATCTAGGGCCTTCCACATGCTAGGCAAGTGTTCTACCACTGAGGTATATGTTGAAGCTCAATATATAAAGATTACATCTTCTAAGAAACACTGGCTTCACTTGGTCAAATGCCTATCAACATACAGAAATTTACTATTCTTTCTTTGTAACACTTTAACTGAACTACATACATACAGAAAAGACCATAAAGGAACCCTACAACTATTCTAAAGGGGCCTTGTCTTTGAAGGTTGTACATTGCCCTGGAGCCTCCCTGTTACTCCTGTCTGCCTCCTGGCTGTCATAAAGTGAGCAATTCTTCTCAGCTACGTCCTTACTCCACAATGTTTTCTCCTTGCTATGGGCCTAGAAGTATGGAGCCAACTGACCAAAGATGAAAATGTCAGAACTATGAACCAAATAAATTCCTCCATCTTGTTGTTGGTAGTAGTAGTGGTGGTGGTGATGGTGGTGGTAGTTGTTGTTGTTGTTGTTCTTCTTCTTCTTCTTCCTCTTCTTCTTCTTCCTCTTCTTTTTCTTCTTCTTCCTCCTCCTCCTCCTCGTCCTTGTCCTCCTCATCTTCCTCCTCATCATGATCATCTTCATCTTCCTTCTCCTCCTCCTCCCCCCTTTCCCTCTCCTCTTTCTTCTTCCTTTTCCTCTTCTCCTTCTCCTTCTTCCACTTGAGCCACACTTCCACTTCCAGCTTTTTTTGTAGATTAATTGGTGATAAGAGTCTCAGGATTTCTCTGTCTACATTGGCTTTGAACCATGATCCTCAGATCTCAGCCCTCTGACTAGCTAAGATAACAGGCATAAGCCATGAGTGTTATTTGTGCCTTTCAGTGTAAGCTGGCCTGGTCCTTTAAGACATAGGTACAATGTAATTTTTTAAAATTGAAACAATATGACAGTTGTAATTAATCATCATATCCTAAGAGTGGGTAATAACTTGATTTCTGTGTTTAGAGACAAAATATTCTCATCCTCTCCTTTGAATTGTTGGCACATATTCCCTGCTCAGAGCAAAGAAGATGTCAGCACATTTACACACAAAGTGACTAATGGAGGATACACTTAGGACATAACTACTCTGAACATCTAAAGTACTATATCAAAACAAATTCAAGGAAATGGGAGCTTTTGTTTGTTTGTTTTTAGTGTTAGTAAAAGGGGGACACAGGAACAGAGGGAGGAGAAGTGAACAAATATAGTCATTGTATTTAATATACACTATAGAAAAATGAATCATGCAACTTGTAGGTAGGGATGGGAGGGAGAAATAGAAGAAAAGTGAAGGAAGGGATGTCATTGTCTAAGGATAACATTGTACTCATTACCTAATGTATAGAATTGTATTACCTTTATACAACTCCTTAATAAGAACAATAAAAAATAACAAGAAGTCAGTGCAATACCCCATGCCTCTCCTTTCCCATGAACTGCCATACAGGTCATCCGATGCTACTGAGCTCCTTCCCTGCCCCTAATGACTATGAAATGGATCACCTCCACCTTTTCTAGCACATTCTTCTTGGGCAGAAATGGGATCTGTCCCCTCAACTAACTGACAAAGGTCCTCAGAGTGTTGGGGTGCTTCTGACAGTGACTATACAGTTCCTTCATGTACTTGTACTACTCCTGCATTGCGAATTGTATGTCTTGTACATCAAAAGCCCACTGCTCCTTCCTAGGTTAGAAAGCAGCCATGTTGGTCTCCTCACCCCATCCTTTCCCTAATAGCCATTGTGTGGATACAGCCTCTGGCTGTTCTGTCATTCTCCAATGGTTGCAGAGTAGGAAGGCCCTTGGGCCTTACTTGGTCTTGGCTTCTTGAGCTGCTCTTAGCACATGGCTCATTGAAAAGTTCTCTGAAATATCTCCACCTAATTATTGACATAATACATCTTTCTGGGATCTTGCAAGATGAATAATTACAGGTGGGAGGTGATCTTTTGTTACCGCTATGGGGTGATTCGATTTTCTTGTGAAATAAAATACAGTATTGAGAACAGTGATCCTTATTTATTCCTGCCCAATAACTCCTGATAATACTTTCACAATAGCTTAGCTAAGCTCTGTAATAGCCTCTCTTGGTAGAAAAGAAGCAGTTCTTGTCAATCTGCCCAGTGATTTTACCTCAGGAAGATTATTTCAGGTAATGCCTTGATTACTCCAAGTTCTATTCACTAATTGTTACTGTCTCTAGTGCCAAACTATGGAAAAGATTTCTTTTTAGTTTATTTAGCATGGACTGAAATACTCAATACCTCTCCTCATAATCATTTTATTTTATTTTATTTATTTATTTATTTTGCCGGTCATGGGGCCTGAACTCTGGGTCTGGGCGCTGTCCCTCAGCTCTTCAGCTCAAGGCTAGCGCTCTACCACTGGAGCCACAGCACCACTTCCGGCTTTTTCTGTTTATGTGGTGCTGAGGAATTGAACCCAGGGCCTCATGCTTGCAAGGCATGCACTCTACCGCTGAGCTACCTTCCCAGCCCCTCATAATCATTTTAACTGGAAGCACTTTGATATCTAACAGAAGTGGCTATTCCCAGCCTTCTTGGCAGCTAGATATGTTGGCCATTTAATTACGTCCATAAAAAGGGAGAACATGCTTTCCTTTCTTCTTCCCCATTTCCTGCTAGCTGGTATATGAACATAAGGGCAGCAGCTGAACATGAGAAACAAGCTGCATGTTGAGAATGGCAAAGCAGTAAGGTAGAAGGAGCCTGGAATACACAATTGTAGAGCCTTGTATTAATCCA